ACCATGTATATTATGAAAATTACTTCGTGTTGGATAAAACTTGAAGCATTAAACCATAAAAATTCCAGAAGAAAATGTAGGATAAGCTCTACACAAAAAATGTATGATGAAGAACCCAAAGGAAAATACAGTAACGACAAATATAAATAAAAAGAATTTGATTATGCTAAAAAGCTTCTGCACAGCAGAGGGAATGATCAATGGAACAAATACACAACCTACAGAATGGCAGAAGATATTTACAAATTACACATGCAACAAAGGCCTGATATTTAGAATCTACAAAGAGCTCAAACAACTCAGCAAAAAGAAAACAAATAACCTGATCAAAAAGTGAACAAATACATGAACAGGAGTTTGTTTGAAAGAAGATAAATGGGCAATATGCCATATGAAGAAATACTCAATACCATTAATCATCATACCCCATTAGACTGGCCATTACTAAAATGACAAAAAAACAACAGATGCTTGAGTGAATACAGTGAAAACAGAATGCTTACACACTGCAGATGGGTGCAAACTCAATGGAAAACAATATGGAGAGTCCTCTAGGAAATAAATGTAGCCCTACCAATACACCCAGCAATCCCACTACTGGGTATCCTCTAAAAAGAAAAGAAGTCATTTTATGAAAAAGACATGTGCACTCAAATGTTTGTTATAGCACAATTCATAGTGTTAATAATGTAGAATCCAAATAAGTGCCCATCAATTCATGAGTGGATTAACAAAATGTCATATGCATTTATACCGGGGAGTACTAGTCAGCCATAAAAAGCAATGAAATAGTGTCATTTGCAGCAACTTGGGTGGAACTAGAGACCATTATCCTAAATGAAGTATCTCAGGAATGAAAAAACAATCACTGCATGTACTCTTTAATAACTGAGAACTAATTGATGGGCTGACATGGGAACAAAGAGAGATAAATGTCATTGGAAATCAAAAACGGGGAGAAAGGAGGAAAAGAGGCATAAAACCTACTAACATGTACAGTGAACACTGTTCAGGTGATGGGTACAATAAAAGCCTCCACTTAAGCATTATTAAAAAGATATCTGTGTAATAAAAACATTTGTATTCCCACAATACATAGTATTTTGAAATTTAAAAAAAGAGAAAAAAATCAATCCCGTATGTTTTACCCATTTTGTGAAAGTCAGCATGATAGTTCTTACGTTTCCAAATCATGCTTCATCCCCCAAGTCTCACACATTTACCTCTCTGTATCAGGAAGACAAGACCTCTACATCCACTCCCAACACATTGCATTTCTTTTCCAAGTTTCATTTATCTTTCTATCACTATCATCATATGACATAATATGCATTTTGCATATGCATTTCTTTTCTCTCCCTTCACTATAATATAAATTCTACATAGAGAGGGAATTTTGTACATATTATTGCCTGCTGTGTTTTCAGAGCCTAGCACAATGCCTGATGAGTCACCTACTTGGCAGTCAAAACTGATTCATTGAACGATGATTGAATGAGTGAGAGGAACAGAATAGTCAAAAGATTATAAAAGTATATTCTCACACAGCAGTTGAAGGAAAATCCAGTCCCTAAAACATTGACTCACCCTTGATTTGTTATAGTCGTACACACTTTGAAAATGCCATTACCCTGAATGTGAATATGTCCCCCCACTGAGATGCTGCATATCCGGCTCCCCAGAGTCTGTGCACTCAGCTAATGCTTCCACTTATTACATGGGTTCTAACCTCTGTGGAGCCTAAGATATCTATAACTTGAACATGAACCCAAGAAAAACTTGTATATACAAGTTATTACTATTTTTTTTTTTTTGTAGCCTTAAGGTATTCACCAAAATATTTGGTAAGTCTGGGAAAGATCCTCATCCTCACTATTTGACAGGAGTTAACAAATGGAATTATGATTGGCCTCTTTGACTGAGGCATCATTACAGGGTATTTAAATTGTAATATATTTATTGACTCTGGCCCTGTCGTGACTTGCTAGTCCAAAAGTAATATGCGCATTTTGAGAAGCCTAGAGTGAGAGTGAGAAGTTTTTGGAACCAATACCAGATACAAAATGAAAGAAGTTGAAGGAACAATTGAAGTGCCCCAAATTGGGATCCCCAGTGCTAAAAAGCAGTCAATGTGGAGTGGGGCAGGACATCCACTTATATGACCGTCACACTTTCTGGTTGACAGTCAGACACTCATCACACCAAGGCTGTCAAGTCTCTGCCTATCTAAAGCAATTTTTCCAGGTTGACTGAAAGGTCCTAGAAACTCATCAACTGTATATGTTAAATATGATTCATTTCTTATACATAAATTATATTTCAATAAATCCCTTAAAAAGAACAGAAAAAAGAAAAGTACTTCTCTTGTTAAGAGCCTACAAAGAGTGTGACAAAGTTTCCCATCTGGAAGCATGAAGGAAAGAAATAGTTGCTAAAAATAATGCTTTTAAGTGGCTATTTCATGAACCCCAAATGAGCAAAATATATATTTGAAAAATTGACAAATGAGAAGTTGAATCACCCCTGTCCTGACCATGGATGTGCTCCAGTATAGATGAGCAGGGTTCTTTTTTTTTTTTTTTTTTTTAAGTTTACTAACCAGGGCAATGAGTTTCTCTAGGTCCACTCATTAAATAAGATGCTCAAAAAAGATAGGAGTTCATGCTCTTGATCTAATAAATCCCAAATTTAATGTAAGTGAGACAATGAAAATAAATATAAGACAGAAAATGAGGACAAATTTTCCATCAACTGTCTGTTCTATCTCTGTCAATTTACAAACAAGTATGAGAATAAAAAGTCACTAAAACATTATTAAAATGCCCGATCTGGTGTCCCTGCATCCTAAATATGACCACAACGCTAACACTGTACGTGTTTGGGAATAGTAAAGTGAAGCAAGGTCAAATACACTGTACCCCTACTTCCAGCTCCCAAGGAAAGTCAAGTCATTTTTCATGATCTAACTGATAACAGACGGAAAATGACTGAGAGCTTTGCTGCTTTCTAAATAGAAAGGCCAGTGGGAGAGATGGCTTCAGCGTTAGGTAGCTTGGGTAATCCCTCCAGCTAGATTCTGTAGAAGTGTAGGGTTTAATACTTGCCTTCTATGATCTATTTATAATTAAGCCAGATGAGCTTTTTGCCTTTATTCTCCTCTAAGGTGACAAATGTCAGCTTAACCAACACAATTTTTAATATAGACACGTTTACAAAGAGAGAGACCCCACTTGACCGCAGCAGTTCTGTTTGACAGAGCACATGTTAACATTGTACCTCACTGCCCAGGTGGCCAGAGAGGGGACTGGAGGCTCCCGTGACCCACACGCTTAGCCTCATCTTCAGAACTATCTCCACAGCCCATCCACACTCCTACAAAAACTTTCCGAATAGAAGTGTTCCAAAAAGGTTCAAAAAAATAGTTCAGAAGCATCTGAGGGTCTTTAGAAAGCAGCATCACCAATCTGCTATTGATGTAATAGAGAAAGCCTGAAAAGCTCTGCTCTACCAAAAGCAGCGATAAACCATTATAAATGGGCAACCATAATGTGCACAAGCTCATGCCTGGAAGTCTGCAGGGAACTATTTGAAGAATAAGTGTATTATGTAAAAATCACTATTTTTAACATTAAGCAATAGCTTTTGAGTATATACTATAGGTTAAGTCATACATCCGACTGTGTGTTTGTGTGTGAATCTTCACATTCATTTTCTAATTGAGAAAAGGACAAGCAACTTGCCTGAGATTTTAGAGTTATTATGATGAGGCACTGGCAGGAGCTGAACTCAGAGCTGACTGACTTCACAGCTTGTGTGTGTTTTGGCCAGGGCTGTGTTTGAACCTGCCGCCTCTGGCATATGGGGCCAGTGCCCTACTCCTTCATTGAGCCACAGGCGCTGCTCTGTTTTTTTTAATTATTATTTCACTGAATTTAAAATAGACAAACAAAATACTGTGATGCACAGATCCTAGCAATATGAATTACTGTCTTTGCATGTGAGAGAGTGTGAGAGACCATGGGCGCAGCTATGCAGCTACCCACAATGAATAGGAATATCTGATAAATCTTGGAGAGCTCGGTTATATGACAGCTAATAGTGAAAATCAATAGAGTATAAAAAACCCTGCAGTTTCAGCCCATAGGGCTGAGTACAGAGGAGAACAGCAGTTTGATGTTATCTTCACCCACGCTCGGATAGATTTTCATCATCAATCGGGGCATTAATTCTATTTGGCTCTTGGAAACAGTCATTTGCTTAATAGGTCTTTTGTGACCGAGAGAGTTCCTGCACAATCCCAAAAGACTTAACTTCCAGCTGGGGAGGAGTTTAGGCAGAGGAGGATAAAAATCTAACTTCATATTATATAAATAATAAGAGGAGGAAAGTTGGAACAAACTGCCTCCTATTTTTGTTGGAAAATAGCACTGTTTTATTTTGACATAGGTCACCAAGACACAGGAGGCAATTTTCCTGTGGAGGTATTTTCTTGAGTCAGTATAAATGTAGCAAAGCAAATGAGTGCATACCAAATGTTCTTTGGACGCTTAGATTTGTCAGGTCCTACTGGGAGATTTTTGTATTAGAACACCGGACGACATCTTTTTTCTTTTTTTTTTTTTTGGCAAAAAGTATACTTTTATTAAACCTTATTTCAAAGTACATTATTAAATTGTTCATCAAACTCATGAATAAAATTCAGTCACTGCTAAAAATAATCATGATGGTGATTCTTTTTTTTTCTTTTTAGGATTTATTTATTTTGATTGAATGGCAACTATGTACATTAATGCACTTCTCTTAAGTACCTGTGTTACTTTCTGTCTTTGGAATGGTTAACAATAATGGTTCAGTACCTGCAAATGAGGATTTGTCAAAAAGCACATTCCAGCGTGTTCCAGATTTAGAATGATTTATTATGTGATTATTTCAAATAATAAATTATACTATCGAGATTTTAAGACACAGATATAAAAGTATGGCTGTAATTTTCCTGTCAGGTGATAAAGCAGGAAGAGCTTGACAAGGATCTTTCTGGTTGTTCTCTGTATGATCTGCTGAAATACGATGATTGGAACGCTGACAAGCACCTGGCTCTTGAAGAATTTTATAGAACATTCCGTGAGTACACGATACATTCTCTAATTTCTCTTTATGCTTTGTCCTTGCTTTGCACAATTTAGCATGTTTACTTGGTCTCAGAGAATAAGTTGTTTACAAAAGAAGCGATATAATGGAGACAAGGTAAGTTTGGGGCTACCTTGAAACATATATAAAAGCTAAGAGGCTTAGTAGCTATAAAATGAACGCTTGGAAATATTTAATAACATTTCTTACATGAGCAAATATTGAAATAGTTGATATAACCATGTCTTGCTGATTCTAGTTTAAGACATTTGTATCACAATGGTTCTTCCAAGGTTTTATGAGGGTGGGAGCAGCACTGGACCTGTTGTCACTATGTATCTATCGAAAGCAATTTACACAATCACATTTTTTAGCTTCATTGGGAAAGCAAAGCGGATTAACCAAAGGAATTTTCATATATTTGAGGACCAAGAATTGGTATTAGAATGAAAATTATATGTATGTTAAGGTATGTTTGGATACTTTATATATGTTCAATTTGATAAATGTATCTTAAGTTGACTAACTGTGTTTTATAGAGCATAGCTATAAAGATAACTTAGTTAACCAAAATTCCCTAGCCAGTTATTCTTTAAAAATAACTCAAAGCAAAAATACTTATGTGCAAAAAAAAAAAAAAAAAAAAAAGAAGAGAAAAAAGGAAACAATTATTTAGAGGTATGTGAAAGAGAAAGAGGGACGCAAACTAAATTAACTAGTTAGTATTTGAAAATCACCAAAGGAGTAAAATTAACCAGTATTTAATTCAGTTAAGCATCTGAACTAAAATATGAGATATATAATATCATAAATATATGTATATATTGTATATACACATGTATGTATATTATATACATACTATATACCTTATACATATATTTATGTATAGTATACACATATATTTATGTATATTATGTTATGTACATGTATATATTATATTATTATGTATATATATAATATTCATAAATATATTTATATTATATAAGACAGGACATAGGCAATATACTTGGAGTAAAAAAGATATTTTTTAATGTGGCCTGGCCTTTTTATAACTTATCTGCTGCCTGATGTGGTAGACTTTATTCAAATCTATTATTATTCTTAAAAATCCATGTAAACAAAGATGGTTTTCTTATGATTTTATAATATTTATTGAAATAATGTAGTATATTTATGTAATATTTTATATGAGCAAAATGATATATGAGAGAAAGCTACATATTATGCATATTTAAGCAATATATTAATATGTTCTCTGGATTTCATTAAATTGCAGTTTTATTTTAAATTACAGGATGACATAGTAAACTGTTAACCCTTTAAATGGCGGTTGTAAATCTAGAACACTTTTCATAACTAACCAAAAAAGAAGGTATATTATTACTCTATTTATATATGGAGAAACTGAACCACAGAGAAGTTAAGAAATAAGTGACTGAATCTGTAATCAAATGTATGTCAAGCTAATTATTATGTCTACATATTTTTTACTAAGTTTTACTCTGCAGTGGGCATTCTTTTTGTTGTTGTTGTTGTTGTGGAGGAGCATTTATTTATCTATTCATTTATTTATTTTCACATGTATAGGTAGCTTCAGTTTTTTTTTTTTTTTTCAATTGCTGGGGATTCATCGAGGGTACAAGAAACCAGGTTACACTGATTCCATTTGTCAGGCAAAGTTCCTCTTACAATTGTGTTTTGCCCCTAAAAGGTGTGTCACACCC